GGGACCCACCATTGAAGAGGTTGATTAAGCCAACTTTAAATAAAAATATAGCATTCTTTCACAACCAATAAAATTGAAGGACCTAAATTTGTAGCAAATCCTGTAGCAGTTAAAGTTGAGCTGCTATAGTAAAGTACTGGGTATTCTCAATACTTGAATAATGGGACATGTACACAGGGAAACATAGCATTGCACTTTGAGCACTGTACTGTAAGTGGAAATGCAATGTCTTCAATAAATATTTAAATTGGCAAAAAATAAAATAAAATAACCGATGTCAAAAAAATAAAAAAAATAAAAATAAAAAATAAAGTGGGATTTATCCAAAGAATCACCTAAGTCAATATTCCAAAACCGCATACCTGTAATCCCAGCACTTGGGAGGCTGAGGCAGGAAAATCCTTGCAAATTCGAGACCATCCTGGGTTACAAAAAGGAGTTCAAGGCCAGCCTGAACTGCATAGTGAGACTCTGTCTCAGACAAAACACGAACAACAACCAACCGATGCAAAAAGAGAATCTAACATAATCCAACATCTGTTATAAAACACTGAGATCTGGGTGTGGTGGTGGATTCCTATAACCCCAGTTATCTGGGAAGCTGATGCAGAAAGATTTCAAGTTTGAACCCGGCCTGGGCAAATTAGGGATTTAGAGAGACCTAGTCTCAAAATAAAAAATGACAAGGAGTAGGTCTAGGGATGCAGCTCAGTGCAGAGGTCCTGAGTTTTATCCCCAATATTAGGAGAAAAAGAAAGGCAAGAAACTGGGACGTTTTGCCAAAAAAGGATACACAGATAACAAGTAGGCTGGTGAGATGTTGAACATTGTTATAAACAACACAACAAGAAGTCTGCATCGTTAGCTTGCATGGACAGGAGCGCTGTGCATACTGCTGCGCCTCTCTATGTGCGGAGAAAGCTGGGCCTCGGGTTTGGTGGCAGAGTCCCTGCCTAGCATGCACAAGCCCTGGCTTGGGTCCCCATCCCTCCCCCTCGAAAGAAAAGGTTATACCCTAACACAGACTGCCAGAGGATAAAGTGTTCTGGTTTGTGTCTGGTTGTCCCCCCAAAGCCTCATGTAGTCATGAGGCAGCTTCTAGTTTGTGATTAATCCATAATCCAATGCTGAGATTATAGATGTGTGTGCTGCTGGGCTTATGGCTCTGCGTGTTACACCCAGGGATAACCTGAGTGAAGAATAAGGAGAAGAGGGGCTGGCTGCCTCTGCGGCCGCTGCCACCACAGCAGCTGCTCCTCCCTGTTTGCTCTTGCTGTTTTCTGCCACCACGAGCCTTGGGCTTCTGCCATGTGCCGCTCTGCCTTGGAGCCAGCCTAGTACGGCCTGAAACCTCCACACACTGTGAGCTAAATAAACCTTTCCTAATTTTGAGTGTTGGGTCTTTTGTCCCAGCAATGAGAGAAATGTAACCGAGACACACACAAAGCGAAGTGCTGAATAGCCCTTCAAGATTCCTGCCTGGGAGACTCCACGCTTTAGAAAATGGTGAGTAGAACACGCAGTGACATCCAGGCTCAGCAAGAGTGCAAGACACCACTGGATGGTGTCACAGGATGTTGGTGCTGGCAGGGAATGAGCAGATGCTCGCAGATAGGCGGCAGTGGCACAAGCCGCTCAGGAGGGAGGCATGGCCTGCCACCTCATCACGTGGATAGGGAGCCTGGGACCTGATGGCCGCTGTTGGCGGCTGATTTTCATTTCCTGTTTTCTACTAGAAAGGCTTTACTGAAAACCTCTTTATTCCAAAGTGGGTGAAAATAAATAAGAAGTAAAGAGCCCATCCTAAGTGGGCTGTGGATGTAGCTCCGTGGCAGAGTATGCATGAGGCCTGGGTTCAGTCCCGGCACCACCAGAAAACCCATGAGCTACTGCTACGGGCCTCCTGGAACACACAAATTATCAAGGATACAGTGCTAAGGATATGCTAAGGGTACAGTGGCTGCTGCTGGGAACACCCAGCTCACAGGGGGCCACAGTGTGGCTCTTTCTCATAAATCTCATGCCTTGCTATTTACTTACCTGAGAGAAGCAAAAGAGTATTCCTACGCAGAAGCTTATGCATGACCCACTACCACAGCTCTGCTGGTCACCACACCTTGGAAGCTACCTAAGCCCTGTTCAGTGGACAAGCATGGAATGCCAGTGGCATGGAATACTGCGCAGCGGGAGCCCACGCGAACCTCACAGGCGCTCCGCTGACAGAGGGCAGGCAAGCTGCGTGCGGCTGGCTCCACTGCCGTATCTTTCTAGGTGAGAAGAACCACATGGGTGGGGCAGGGTGGGCTGGGGAGCACCGCCACCCTGAGATGCCATAAGGAACCTGGAGGAACAGACCTGCTGCGTCCTGACGGCAGCAGGTGACCAGCCTGAGCGTAAGAATTAAAACTCATAAAACTATACTCGGAAATGGTTTGTTTTACTGCATTTAATTCTCAAAATACTTTTTCTTGGGGTGAGTGGCCTTGGAAGCCCTCACCTGACAAGGTGACCTCAGGACCCAAAGAAGGTAGGGACAGTGGTGGTGGACCATGTGGCAAAGGCGGGCCCCTGAGGCAATGTGCTGGTGAACATAGTGGCTCAGAGAGCAGGACAGGGGTAGGCGCCTGCAGGAAACCTTGAGACGGGTGGCAGCTGGGCCAGGGGCGTGAGAGGGGTGCGTGGATGGCTGGCAGGAGGCAGGACACCAGGTCCCCACACGCTGAGGCTGGGCACTGCTGCAGGGCTGAGTGGGGAGTGCAGGGCCTGTTTTTACGAACTTGGAGGACAGGCCTGAGGCAGAAGCAGCATGCCTGGGGAGCTTATGTTCTCCAGATCTGGGCCCTCTGCAGATCCCTGCACCCTTTAGCGGACCCCTGGAAGCTGCCACCTCTTGGCTGTATCAGGGGACCCAAGGCTTTCCTGGGCCCTTCTGAGCAGGGCACCCTCAGAACACACAGACATCGCACCTTGGCTGATGCCGCAGGCCCCACTACAACCGTCAAGTTATGGGGCTCGGATTTCTGGACGAGACAGGAACTTGGGGAGTGCAGAGGGTGAGAGCCAATTCAGGGTCCCACAGAGCCCTGAAGTGAGCCCAGGACGGCAGCACATCTGGGAACACATTCAATGGTCAAGGGTTCAAGCATCCAAGGAGGGCAGCGGCAGTGAGGGCTCAGGCATTCCTCTGCTCCGGGGGCAGGTATGCAAGACCCAGGTGTCTGAAGATGTCCTCCTCGGAAGCCACATGGAAACAGGTCTTCTGCAACAGGAGGGGGGCATCAGCAGCGCAGTTACAGTGTGACAGGGCCAGGCCAGGTGGGCCAACAGGCAGCATGGGCCCCTTGCCTCACGCACCTGCTCCGGGTCGAATAGCCCGTGGCTGTTCAGACACAGCCCCTTCTCCTTCCGGCTGAATCGGCGGAGCTCCCGCTCAAAAAGCTGGGGGGTAGATAGGGGGTGGGAAGCGAGGCTCAGTGAGGCTCATTGCCTGCCTGCAGCCCTGTGCTCAGCCCCTGGGAAGTGGGGGAACTGGGTATACGAGCCTCCCTGGAGCCAGCGAGGCCCACCTCCCCCAGCACCCTGCACACAGCCCACCTGCGAGCCAGTCCAGCCGAGCAAGGCGAAAGGGAACTGGCTCCAAGGGGCAACCACCAGGTCTGCCCTGACAGCTTTCCAGTCAGGCCAGGGCTCGGTGTCCACCCGCTCTGCTGCCCCCAAGGGTTGTGGCAGGCGGAGGATGCAGAGACTCCGCTCGAAGGCGTCCATGGTGTGGCTCTGCCGTGCCAGGCGGCCGAGGTCCCCCAAGTGGCTGGGCTGGTACTGGTGGTACAGGACGAGGCCCTGGGGGAGAGCAGGTGTCTATGCCCGCCACAGCATGGGCAGGGCTCATCCGGGCAGGGCACGGGCACTCACCTGGCTCTGCAGCTGGCACATCACCCGGGGCAGCAGCCCCACCTCCCGGCCCTCCTCTGGATGCGTGATGAGCAAGTCCACATCGTGGCCCTGCGGCTTCCCCCTGCAGGCACAGGCTTGATCTGGGACACAGACCAGCACAGCTTGTGTGCCACAAGCCACATCCCCTCTGAGGATGAGTGCACATCCACTCTGCCCACACACAGGTCGTTCCACTGGGTCTTACCTCCGGAAGCCACCTGTCAGCGTGACAGTGGCCCCAGGTAGGGCCTGTCCCACGGTGGCCTCCACTAGCTGTTGCAGGGCCTCAGCATCCGGCCGGGCCACAGGGGTGCACAGGTCCAGGTAGTGCTGGAGCCCTGCAGGCAGCACAGCTCCATTCACCAGTCCCGTCCCCACCCTGAGGGCCCTGAACACTGGTACTAGGGATTGAACCCAGGTCCGGGACCTTCACACCAAGCTACATCCCAGCCCCTTTCTTAAAATTTTGAGATAGGGTCTTGCTAAGCTTCTAAGTTGTCCAGGATGGTCCAGAACATGTGACCCTCCTGCCTCAGCCTCCCAGAGTGCTGGAATTACTGGTGTGTATACTACACCCAGCTTACATACTGGCTTTATTTTGATGTAACTGTAGATTCACTTTTGGATGAAGGAAATGAGAGATGCCCTAGGCAAACTGTCTCACCGCCCCAAAAGTAAAAGCTTACAGAACTACAGTAGAATCAGATACAAAGGGCAGGCCAAATAGCTCAGCCAGCAAGCAGGTGCAGGGGCTAGGTTCGATCCCTGGGCCTGCTGTGTTGGCTCCGCCCCTGGGGTGCACTGGGACGGTGATTGAGACTGGGCATGGTGGCACGCGCCTGTAATCCCAGCTCTTGGGAGGCTGTGAACAGGAGAATCACTATGAGTCCGATCTAGTAGTGAGACCCTGAACACCCTGTAGATCCTTCCCTTAAATACAAAAAAACAAGCAAAAAAAAAAAACAAAACTAAATAAATAAAATAAAAAACAAAACAAAGAGAGGGCCAGAGAGATAGCTCAGTAAGATAAATGCTTGCTTGGCTAGCACAAGGGACTGAGTTCAATCCCCGGTTCCGCCAAAAAAAAAAAAGAATCAGATACGAGGACACTGAGTTACACACACAGGATACAGCTTCAGTTTCTCCATTCATAAGGTGGGACAAAGAGGTGAACAAAAGATGGGAGGAGGGCTGCTTCCCCCACTGCCCAGGGGTGTCAGGTGCACAGAGCACAGCTGCCGGGCTCTGGTAAGCCCTGCCCCGCCCCCTCCCCCCACTATCTCTGCAGCTTGGCTGAGCTAGCTCCCAGGCCCATGCAGATCCTTCTTGAGCTGCAGCTTGCCTCCCCCCACCCGCTGAAGTGGAAGCCACACTGAATCCCACACAGCTGGAGCCCTGATGAGCCCACCCTGACCACCCACTCCTGTGGGAGCCTTGCTCACCCGCCACCCTACCCCCTACCATTGCTACAGAGTCAGGGTGAACACCAGGAGCTTCAAAAATGTCAAAAGGAAAAATCAAAAAGCAATCTCAGACCTTTTAGCCCACACAAAGCAAGTCCAGGAGACAAAGTCATAAAAGAACTTAGAAGTCACATACCTGAAATTTTGGAAATGATAGCAACTGAAGTAAAGAAACGACTCCATCAGGCTGTGGAGGATATCAGATCAGAAATAATATGTCAGGAAGAAAAGAAATGACAACAATCATGAAAGAATTGCTCAGTATATCAAACGAAGACATAGATAAAAAATTAGAGGGGAATAGGAAAATGATGGAAACATTGAATAAACAATACAGGAAAGAACTAGAATGTATGAAACAGACTCAAACAGATATCCAGAACATTAAGAATTCCACTGAAGGCCAGCAAAACCGCTCGAACGAAGCTGAAGATAGAATTTCAGACCTTGAAGACAGCATTGCAGCTAGTGAACATGATAGGAAAAGTCTCTAAAAATTACAAGTGGGGGCGGGGGCAGGGAGATGGCTCAGTGGAATAAGCGCATCCCTGGCAAGTGCAAGGGCCTGAGTTCAATCCCCAGTTCTGGAAAAAAAAAAAAAAAAATTACAAGGAACCAGGAAATAATTCAACAGCTGCAAGATGATGCAAAGAAAAATAATATAAGACTGACAGGTATCAATGAAACAACTGGAGTCAACACAAATGACATGAAAAGACTGTTAGCAGAAGTAGTAGCAGAAAATTTCCCAAGCAGAAGTGAGGCGTGTAGAACTCTAATTAGCCATAATCAAAATAAACCTACACCCAGCCACATAATAATCAAGATCCCAGAAATTCAGCAAAAGAATAGAATATTAAAAGCTGTTAGAGAGAAGAAATAGCCCATCAGAATCACAGCAGGTTTCTCAACACAGACCATCAAATCAAGAAGAGCTTGGAGTGAAATACTCCAGGTCCTGAATGACAGCAACTTCCAATCGAGATTGTTGTGCACCCTGCAAAAGCATCTATCAGATTTAATGGAGTGCTAAGATACTCCCATGACAAAGAACAACTGAAGAAACTCATGACAACCAAACCAACCCTAAAAAGAGTACTGACATATTTTAGAGAGAGACAAAAAAGGCCACAACTTCAAGAACAACAGAAAAGAATCACTAAGCAAAGCAAGCAAATAAACACAGGAAAGCTAGAGATCCTACAGCAGGAAAAGAACATAACAAAGACAAGCCAATAAATATCAGTTATAACCATCAATGTAAAGAGCCTAATTCACCAGTCAAAAGAAGCAGACTGGATCAAGAAACAAAATCCAACAATATGCTGTACACAAGAAATACATTTAACTCAAAAAGAAATGAACAGACTGAGGCTGAGGAGATAGCTCAGCAGCATAAGCATCTGCCTGGCAAGTGCAAGGTCCTAAGTTCGATCCCCAGTACTGCATGCCATGCCAGCCCTGGAGCCCTGGGCATGCAGTGCTGGCCCTGAAACTGGGTGTGGTGGTGCATGCCTGTGGTCCCAGCACTGGGGAGGCTGAGACAGGAGGATCACTATTAGTCTAAACAGTATAGTGAGAACCTGTATCATTAAAAAAAAAAATAATAGACTGAAAATCAGAGGATGGAAAACAATACTCCATGCAACAGGAACCCAGAAAAAAGCTATACTGGTTGCTAACAACATCAATTTCAAAACAAGAGTGATTGAAAGAGATAAAGAAGGTCACTACATACTTATTAGGGGAAAATTGCAGGAGCAAGTGAATAACAATTAGCAATATATATGCACCCAATGTAGGTGCACTTCACTATATGATAAATTTTAGCAGACATGAAATAAGCAATAACACAATTGTACTGGGGGACTTTGGCACCCTCTTCACACAAAGAGATAGGTCAACTAAGCAAAAAACAGCAAAGAAATAACAGCACTAAACCAAACTTTAAGAAATGGACTTAGTAGACCTTTACACAGTGTTACATCCAACAGCATCAGAATACACATTCTCCTCAGCTGCACATGGGATGTTCTCCAAAATGGACTATATACCAGCACATAGAGCATGCTTAAGCAAATAAAAAGGAATTGAAATTATCCCATGCATATTATCAGACTATAGTGCAATAAAACTGGAAATTATTGACAAAAGAAACAGCAAAAACTCCATAAACACATGAAAAATAAATAATACTCTCCTGAACAATCAGTGGGTCAGAGATGAAATTAAAGAAGAAATGAAACAATATTTACAATCAAACAAAACTGCAGATACAACTTACTGGAACCTGTAGTATGCAATGAACACTGTCTTTTCTTTTCTTTTTTTGGCAGAACTGGGGATTGAACTCAGGCCCTTGAGCTTGCCAGGCAAGTGCTTATTCTACTGAACCATCTCCCTGGTCGCTGAACACTGTCTTAAGAGGGAAATTATAGTGGTAAATTCTCACATTAGGAAAACAAAACACACCCAAATAAACAATCTTATGCTGTACCTCAAACTCCTAGAAAAAGAAGAGCAAGTCAAGACCAAAGCCCAAAGAAACCAGAAAATTATAAAGGCCAGGGAGATAGCTCAGTAGAATAAGTGCTTGCCTGGCAAGCATAAGGGCCTGAGTTCAATCCCCAGTTCCACCCCCCCGCCAAAAAAAATTATAAAAATCAGAGCAAAAATAAATGCAATGGAGATGAAGAAAACAATACAAAGAATCAATGAATAGAAGAGCTGGTTCTTTGAAAGAATAAATAAAATTGATAAACCCCTAGCCGACCTCATCAAAGAAAGAAAAAAGGAAATAAAAATTTCAAACTCATGCAATGAGGAATGAAAAGAGTGAAATCACTACAGACCCTATAGAAATTGAGAAGATCATCAATACCTATTTCCAAAATCTTTACTCTCACAGGATAGAAAACAGAAGAAATGCACAGATTCCAAGATATATACTGAATCAAGATATAAAACTCTGAATAACCCAGTATCAGTGAATGAAACTGAAAATGTAATAAAAAAAACTACCAAAAAAAAAAAAACAAGTCACTAATGAATTCACAGCTGAATTCACAAGAAATTTAGAGACGATTTAATGCCAACTCTTTGCAAACTCTTCAATGAAATTGAAAGAGAAGCAACTCTCCCAAACTCAATCCTGGTGCAAAGTATTACTCTGATACCAAAATCAGAGAAAGACCCAAACAAAAAAGTACAGGCCAATCTCCCTAATGAACATAGAGGTAAAAACCTTCAATAAAATACTAGTAAACAGAATGCAGCAAATCATCAAGAATATTCTACATCACAACCAACTGGAATTCATCCCAGAAATGCAGGGATGGTTCAATATATGCAAATCCATAAATGTAATACACCATGTCAACAGAGCTAAAGACAAAAATTACATGATCATCTCAACAGATGGAGAAAAAGCTTTTGACAAACTCCAACACTCAAGCATGATTAAATATCCTACAGAAAATCAGAATAGATGGTCTTTATCTCAACTTGATAAAAGCCATCTATGGCAAACAAACAGCCAACATCATACTAAATGGACAAAAATTGAAAGCCTTCACTTTAAAATCAGGAACAGGACAAGGATGCCCACTGTCACCACTCCTATTAAATATAGTTTTGGAAACATTAGCCAGAGCAATTAGATAAGACAGAAATAAAAAGAATAATGATTGGAAAGGAAGAAGTGAAATTATCATTATCATCAGATAACATGATACTCTACATAGAAGACCCCAAAAACTCCACCAACAGACTTGTAGATTTAATAAGCATATTCAGTAGCATGGCAGGACACAAAGTCAACCCTCAAAAATCATTAGCATTTTTATATACAAACAACAAATGCACTAAGAGAGAAATTAGGGAAAACACAGCTTTCACAATAACACCCCCCAAAATGAAATACTTGGGAATCAGTCTCACAAAGGAAGCAAAAGAGTTATACAGTGAAAATTATAATACTCTGAAAAAAGAGATCAAAGAGGATTATTTAGAAAGTGCAAAGATATTCCTTGCTCCTAGATGGGAAGTACCAACATTGGGAAAATGGCTATACTTCTAAAATTGTTATACAGATTCAATGCAATCCCAATTAAAATACCATTAGTATACCTCACAGATACAGAAAAAACATTCCTAAAATTCATATGGAACCAGAAGAGACCTAGAATATCAAAAGCAATCCTGAGAAACAAAGGAAAAGCAGGAGGTATCACAATTCCTGACTTGAAATTATATTACAAAGCTACTGTGATAAAATCAGCATGGGAGGATAAATGGAATAGATTAGAAGATGCAGACACATCTAGGAACACACTCAGCCACCTTATCTTTGACAAAGGGAGCCAAACACGTTCACTGGAAGAAAGATAGCCTCTTTAATAAATGGTCCTGGAAACATGGGCTTTCCACATGTCAAAGGCTAACATTAGACCCAAGTCTATCACCATGCACAAAACTACAGTCAAAATGGATTAAAGATTTAAATATGAAAACTGAAACACTAAATCTTCTGTAGGAGAAAGTAGGTAGGAATGTTAAAGGTATAGGGGTAGGTAAAGAGTTCATGAACAAACTTAAACTGCATGGGAAACACTTCAAAGAATCAACAACTGAGATCTCATCTTTTTTTTTTTTTAATCTCATCTTTTTAAAAAGTTTCTGCACATCAAAAGAAACCACCAACAGAGTAAGTAAAAAGAAAACCCAGGGCCAGCAAGATAGCTCAGCAGACTAAGTGCCTGCTTTGGCAAGCACAGGGACCAGGGTTCAATCCCCAGTCCTGCATGCTGCACCAGCCCCACCCCCGGGGCACGCAGAGCCAGTGACCTAGTCCAGGCATGGTGGTGCACACCTGTAATTAAAGCACTGGGGAGGCTGAAAACCAGAGGATCACTATAAGTCCAAGCCATGTTGTGAGACCCTGTACCAAATACATAAAATGAAAAAAAAAAAAAAAAAAAGAAAGAAAGAAAACCCACAAATTGGGAAAAAAATTATAGCTGACTATCCCTCAGACAAAGAACTTATATCTAAAAGAAAAAAGAACTTCTATCCAGAACATAAAAAGAATTTAAAAATATCCTGCCTCTAAAATTCAAAGACTCAATCCAAAAATGGGCATCTGAGATTAATATACACTTCACAAATGAAGAAATACAGGGCCAGGGAGATAGCTCAGTAGAGTAAGTGCTTCCCTGGCAAGCACAAGGGCCTGAGTTCAATCCCCGGTTCCACCAAAAAAAAATGAAGAAATACAAATGACAAATATATGAAAAAGTGTTCAACATCACTGGGCATTCAAGAGATGTAAATTAAAACAACACTGAGATTCCATCTGACACCAGAAGGAATGGCTACCTTCAGGAAGTCAGCCAATAACAAATGCTGGATAGGGTGTGGGGAAAAAGGAACGCTTCTCCACTGTTGGTAAAGGGCAGACTGGTACAACCTCTATGGAAATCAGTGTGAGAATTCCTCAAAAAACTAGGATTGTAGGTCCCATTCAAGCCAGCGATTTCTCACCCAGGTATTTTTCCAAAAGAAGTGAAAACCTCATACCACAGTGATATACGTGCACTCATGTCTACAGCAACACAATTTGTCATAGCTAAATCCCGGAAACAACCCAAATGCCCATCAGCTGAGGAATGAAAAAAAAAGAAGTGGTATTTTTACACAATGGAGTATTACTGAGCTATAAAAAAAGATAAATTTGAAGATTTCATAGGTAAATGGAAGCAACTAGAGACTGTATTGGTAAGTGAAATAAATCAGATCCACAAGTGCAAACAACATATTGTCTCACTAGCGTGAGAACCTGAAAGAGTAAATAAAATCTGAAAGGTACAATAGATACTGTGAGAGGGAAAGAACCTGTTCAATGGGAAGAAATAACTGGATGAGGAATAGGACAAAAGAAAGAAGGGGAAAAGATACATTCATGTATATATGCAGGATAGTTTGGATAACTGTATTGATGATTTCTGCTGGTCTATTCAAAAGAGCAGTTAATGCTTAATTTTTTTCTTTTTAATTTCATATATATGCTAATTTTACAGGTTTATTTCTGGTAAAATAAACAACTAATTTGAAGATAACATTATACAATACAACAACCATTTTTGCATTACTTCTATTTTTTTGTTTTTAACATTTTGTATTCTTTTTTTTTTTTTTTTTTGCGGAACCGGGGATTGAACTCAGGCCCTTGCGCTTGCCAGAGAAGTGCTTATTTCACTGAGCCATCTCCCCGGCCCAACATTTTGTATTCTTAAAAAAAAAAATAAAAAAAGAAGGGAAGAAGCTGGACATGGGGCACACGACTACAATCCCAGCCCTCTGGGAGGCTGAGGCAGAAGGACTGAAAGGCCCAGCCCAGCCCAGGCAACTTAGCCACCTGGGGAGATCCCATCTCTAAGTGTAAATAAAACAAGGAGCTGAGGCTGCAGCTCAGTGTGAAGATTCTGGGTTTGGTCCCCAGTATCCCCTCTACCCTCCAAAATAAGAAGGGAAGAAGGTGGTCCGGCCACCCTGCCTTTATCTGCCTCCTGTCCCCGGCCTGTCATGCCATCACTGGGCCTCCCACAGGCTGGTCAGAGGAGGTCTGCAGTGAGCAGCAGCAGCACCATGCAGTACCAGCTCCCAGGGCACGCTCAGGCCTTTCTGTTCCTCTGCCCCAGGCAGAGGGACTGTGGGTGCCCAGAGCTGGGCAGCAGTCCTGGAGCCACACACACACAGGACGAGCTGGCTGTGGTGCCCTTTAGCAGGTCCGCTGGCTAGGCTGGGTTCAGATAGCACAGCCGAGGGCCCAGACAGGATGCCAGACAGGCCAAGTATGTGCTCAACACTTACCCCAACTGCCTCACAGAGGCTCAAGGTCACCTATGTGGCAACAGAGGACAGGACTCAAACCCAGGCCCAAGGAAGCTGAAAGCTGTTGTTCTTTCCCCAACACACACCATCCCAGATGGCACCAAGGCCTGGGCCTCACAGGAGCCAGCAACACAGGCCCCAGCCACTGCCATGCTGCAACACGGTACTGCCAAGCACCCTTCGTACCAGCTGCTCCCCCACTCGGCCAGGGGGTGCCAAGGGCTCTGGGAAGCGGGTTGACCTCCTCAGGGCTCACCTGCCCGCTGCTGCCGGGTCAGTCTCTGAGGCTGCTCTCGGAGCTCATCCAGGGTACGGAGCCCTTCTTGGTACCACCGGGTGGCGGTCTTCACCCCAACCCCAAAGATCTGGGTGAAGAGCTGTGTGGGTGAAAGACAGAGGGCAGGTGAGGTGTGACGCTCCCTGAGCAGATGGCCCTGTGGTCCTACAGGGCAAGGATGCACCTCTGATGTCAGCCTGCCCGGCCCACTTGAGCCACTGAACCGGGGCCTCTGCCACCCAGCAGCCGAGAAGCCTGGGCGATTGGCTCCTCCCCTCTGGAAACCCCCTTTCTCACTCCCAGCAGCCAGATTTGGCTTCATGGTTCTCCTCAACACACAGTGAACAAGGGAGTATCTTCAGCAGAAGCCCTGAGGGGAGACCCAGAACCCCTAAGGTTCCCACAGGAACCTTAATCCAGCAGGGCGTGGCTGACTGGTCCAGGGGACCTGTCCCAAGCATGTCTCCTGGCCTGAGCCAGCCACTCAAATTCTCCCCAGCATCTCTGCAGCGAGCCCAGGCAGCCGCACAGCGGGAGGGCTGTATTCTGAGGCTGTGTTTCCTTGCAGCAGGGACATTGGCGTGTGTCACAGGAGGAGGACAGAGGGGACTTTACTGGGCTATCTTCTCCCTGATTTGTTGAATCTATAACATGATGGAGGTCAATGTTACCTTGGCTAGCAAAACCTAACTTTAAAAATACAGAGGTTAGGGCTGGGATATAGCTCAGTGGTACAGCGCTTGCCTGACAAGTGCTAGGCTGTGAGTTTGATTCCTGGTACCAAAAGAAAAAATAAATAAGTAAACACATACAAATACAGAGCTTAGCTAGGCTTAGCAACACACATCTGTAATCCTAGCCAGTTACTCCAGAGGAGGTAGTAGGAGGATTCCAAGTTCAAGGCTACCCTGGACAATTTCTTTGTTCTTTCCCAGAACAGAACAATAAAAAGGGCTGGGCCTTTTTCTTGGTGGCACAGCGGTTGCTTAGTGTGAATAAGGCCATGAGTTCAATTTCCATTACTGGGGGATAAAAAGTGTTAAAACAGGTAGTCCTGAGGATTCTAGAAAATTCTCTGTGCTCAAGCACAGGCCCCACTTGGCGGTCTTGTATGTATCAGGTATCAGCTCAGCTGCCATCGTCTTGCTGAGACCTTCCCTGACCCAGAGCTGGGTCAGCGTTCCCTCCCTCCTCCGCGCTGTGGCCCTGCCAGCTCCTGCCCGCCCGCGCACCTTCATGGTCTGGTACCTCTCAGAGCGGCGAACCCTCTCCACCTCCTCACACACTCCTCGCTCCAGCAGCTCCTGGGGAGAAGACAAAGCAAAACTCTAAGCCCCTGGGACTGGAGAGAAAGAGAACAAGCAGTCAGGGGTGACGCAGGGGCTCGGGGACAGGGTGGCCTCCTCCTGACCCTTCAGGGAGGCCCCATGGTGTTGCAGTCCACTGGGGCTCAGCAATAGACAGTGCCTGGAAATGTGGGCAGCTGGGGTCCAGGGCAGAGCTCCTCATGGCTGGAGTGACAGCAGTTGTCACAGCAGCTGTCAGCAGCAGGGTCATGCTGCAGATGGTCATCAAGTCCCAGGAGATATAAACATTTGCTTTCAAAATGTGTATGACTTCACTTAAAAGTATCTTTTACCACTGTGTTTTTAAAGTAAAAGCACTCAGAAGGGTAGCTCCTTGTGTCAGGGTCTCAAAACCTTATATTCAGGACGCTCTCTCCCAGCATCCTAGAAGGCTGGCGCACATGTCGATAACTCCAAGGCCAGTGGCTCCCTGCACTGAGTCCTTGGCACTGAGGACAGCCTGCAGTGCCTTGGGACAGCTCTGTCCCGCCCCAGTGGGCTCTGAAAACAGAGGTCCTCCCCCCACCCCACACTCAGCACAGCAGGCACCAACCTGGATGACACTAGAGGAATGTTCTCCGAAGTGCGGCAGGCCCTGCAGCTGGCTCAGGGCCGTGACAGGCCACGGCAGGGCCTTGAGCACCGAGGCTGCTCTTTGGAAGGAGAGGAGGCGACCCTCGCTGCCTTCGAAGCCTGCTGCCTCTGCCAGTGTCTCCAGAGCCTCCTGCAAGGAGGGTGAATCCTGAGCTACCATCCAGCTGCACCCCTAGTCTGAACCCACAGCACAGAACCTGCTCCCGAAGCTCACCGAGAGGCTGCTATTGGGGTGCACGAGGGGTGTGGAACGCTGGCAGGCATAGGCTGGCATCGGTGCTGCTGCTGCTGCTGGGTTTGAAGGCCCTTTCCTGGGCTCAGCCACCTGGGAAAGGGTGATGTATGTGTCACGATGAGGCTGCAGGGCTGGCAGGAGCCAGGCAAGACTCTGGCCGCTCCTGAACATGGGTTCCCACAGGACAGAGGCAGCCGACTGTCAGAGGGCAGGCATACGCCCAGGGAGGCACCAGCCTGCAGAACAGACTGCAGAGGGGGCTCTTCAGGCCAAAGTAATAGTAACATCTACCAAACCTCATGGAGAACTTCTGCCACTGCCCCACATGCTGCATGCGCTCCACCTCCCCTGACTCTCACAATCAAGTGGGCAGGGGGCGCCAAGGTTAAAGAGATGGTCTCTGCCTCGTGCCTCAGAGCACACTCAGAACCACACTCAGAACATGAGGGCAGGCAGTCCAGCTCCTGAGAACCCTGAAGGTCACCCACTTACTCAGTGTGGAAGAAAAGTCTTACCTTTTCTCCACAACTAAGTGATCCCCAAGGGTGAGGACAGACGTTGGAATGGCTAGCCCCAGCCCCTGCCATGGCGCCTCTACTGGCTTCTCGGGGCCTCCTGGTGGGCTGCTCAGAGTCCTCACTGTCTGCATCCTCTGGAGGACTCCGAGGCACAGCTGCCATGTCACTAGGCGGCACCAGCTCACCTCCAGGCGGTGTCGGCCCTCCACAGGCACAGGCTGCCCAGTGGCCATGCTCTCTGTGAACCAGCTGATGTCCAGCAGAGCTGGCCCGGGGCACCCAGGGGGAGGAGCAGCCTCCTGCTCCCGCCAGCAGACAGCCTCCTCCGCTGAGGTCCGCTCCATCACCACGTGTGTCACTTCAGAGCTGGCAAAAGGAGAGGAAGAGGGTGAAGCCTGCGGCCCCACCTGTTCAGCTCCACACCTGTCTTTGTCCTCGCCTTGCCCTGCATGGTGACCTTTCGTTTTTAAATTTGTTGCCTCCTGTAGAGAGCCCGGCCCCTCCTGCTAGCGGATGAACGTGTTTATCATTGTCAGAACTGTGACTCTGCCAGGCACTACCACGTCTAACCCTAACCCTCACCTGAGTAAGGAGGACTGAGAGTTTGAGTCCAGCCTGGGCAACTCAGACCCTGTCTCAAATTTTAAAAAGCCAGGTTCAATCTCCAGTTCTGGGAAAACAAAACTGATTTTCTGCCCCAGGTATACTCGCACCGACAGCCTGACGGGTGGGCGCTATTTTGTCTGTCCCATTCTCCACCTCGGAGGGGCGTGGTCTTCATCTCAGCTCTGGGGTTAAGCACGGGAAGCTGATTCCGTGAGAACCACGCTCTGCAGAACTTGCCGCACGCCTTAGGCAAGGTGGATCTCCTCTCCTTCGCAGAGCAAAAGATACTGTACACTGCAGGACTGTTGTTAAAAAAAAAAAAAAAAAAAAAAAAGGTGCCTCGCTGCACTCTCCTCGCCAACCTCTCTCAAGTGAGTCTGATGTACTACCATCCCTTGGGAATGTTTAATTAATTAAAAACAATAAGTAAGGGCTGCAGGAAACACTGGCCTCACGCTCACTGGCTCTCCCATCTCAAGACTATTCTCTCACGGGGCATCCGCCGGAATCCCTTCCTGTACTGCTGACATCCTGAGCTTGAGTTTCAGCGATGCCACAGAACACTTCTGGCCCTAATAAATAGCACCCTTCACTGAAGACGAAATCGCGGCCAGGGAAAGACCAAGATGCGAAAGAGCCAGGTCTTTCATCCCCAGACCGCAGTTAAGAGGCCATTCAAGGCCCGAGGCGGCGGTGCTGCAGCGCACCACGCGATGAACAGAGAACCTTGGGGGCCGCACACCTGTAGGCGTGCAGGACACGGAAGCCTTTGGACAGCGCCAGGCGGGTGAGGAAGGCCCGGCGGCTGCGACCCATGCGCGGCTCGGCTAGGTAGATCGCGACGCCGGGGAAAAGCACCGAAGACAGCGCGGAGGAGGCGGCAGCGCCGCCTGGAGACCTGGTTCGCGCTCGCCGGCGCTTTGGAAGCATCTGGGCCTGCACGCGGGTGACTCCTGGGGTCCGCGGAAGGAAGGCAGACGGAAGCCCGGAAGGAAGGCGGACGGAAGCCTGCCGGACTAGGAAGTGGACACCGCCCCTATGCAAATAAGGCAAAGGCCACGCCTTCTATTTAATTACCTCTTTAAAAGGACACGCCGGCGTGGGCGGGGCTTCATCTTCCCTTGGGGGCGGGGTCTCGGCCGACGCTGTTAAACCCACGGCTTGTTAGGCCCGCGGCTCGTAGCGCCCGACGCCGCCCTACGCTGGATCCCCGGGATTTGCGGTCTGCAGGATCCGCGGACGCTCCTGGGGCGGCCGCCTCGAACGCGCGTGGAAGGTTTTTTTGGGCGAGTGGCGCTGCGACAACTGGCCGGCGTTTTGGAAAAATAGAAATTGGCGCCCTCCCTCACTGCTTAGCACCAAATAAATTCCAGATGGATCAAACATTTAAATCTGAAAAAGAAACCAAAACCTTACTGGAAAAAAACTAGTATCACAGTGATCTTGGAAATACTAAAGGAAAGGAATGATAAAGTGAAGCCACATGCAAAGTTAAAATGTGTTTAAAAATTAAAGTCAAAACACAAACTGGTTCCCTTTTGAATGTGACAGTTTAAAATTAAGATGAATTAGAATAATCATAAAAAATTTATTAATTTTTAAAAAATTTTATTAATTTTTAATAAAAAGTTTAAACCCAATATAATCTTGAAAAGGAGGAAAGTAATAAAATTTTCTATAGATAAAGAGACTAAAAAAAAAAAAAAGAGACTACTGTCTAATAAAATCAGCAAAGACATGAGTGAGTGATTCCCAGAAGAAATCCTGGTGGACTTGCTGTGCTGGTGCACACCTGTAATCCCCGAAGTCTGGGAGGCTGAGGCAGAAGGATCATAAATTCCAGCCCAGCTTGGACGTTGTAGTGAGACCCTGTCTCAAAACAAAACATCACAAAACATCAGGGGCCTGCCCATTAGCTCAGTTGTTTAAGAGACTGCTTAGACTAAGCAGTCAGGCTCAGGTTGCTGTGGTTTGATCCCCATATCCTCATGGCTTGCCAGACCTGTCATGAAGGCATCCTGAGCCAGCCACCCCCCCCAAAAAAAAAAAGCCAATCCAGCAAAACAAATCATAAAAAGGGGGGGGGGAGGCTGGGGGTTTAGCCCTGAGTGAAGGCTCTGTGTTTAATCAGAGGAAGAGAAACAAGAGAAAGGGGAGGGGCTGCAGGAGAAAGAGAAGGAGAGGGAGGAGGAGAGGAAGAAGAGGGAGGGGAGAGGGGAAGGAGGAGGAGGTACCAGTTGGTCCTTTGGAGGACCAGGTCAGTCTTGAGAGGACAGCATAAAGGATGTCTTCACCTGCTGGATTAGTGACATCCATCCCCAGTATGGAAGTAGAAGGGAATTGGGAGTTTATAGGAGGGCTTCACTTTCTGGGACCCAATTTAGCAACCATGTTCAACAAAATGAAAACAAAGTAATGCACTTGGATCCAGCAGTTCCTTTTCCATGGTTGGAATCTGGCTGAATCTGTGGGTCGAGGGGGGACGTTGGCCCTTTTGGCAGACGCATTTCCTGGCCAGCTGCCCTGGGGTGCATGCGTCTGGGACCTTCCAGCCCTGGGGAGTTGCAACTGGGCCAGCCTGGCCTTTTATGGGCTCCTTTTGGTTCTTACCTCTGAGTCCCATCTCCTCTCGCCTGTGCCACTGGTCTGTCCACTCGTTTTTCCTCTGGCCTTTTTTTATTGTCTTCCATGGCCCATCTGGGAACCAGCTCCCTCCCAGGGCAGAGGCTGAGGGGAAGAGGCAGGCAGCTCAGCCTGTCATCCTCCTGGCCTCCTGCTCCAGGCCTCCTGACCACCCACTGCCCCTCCAAACCTTTGGTGCAGATGGGCCTCAGGACCCTCACACCACAGCCAGGGGGCCAGGGGGCAGCTCTCTCGCCCCACCCCTCCTGCCCTCCTCAGTATGAAGCCCTTGACCAGTTCCCTCACTTTCCGGCCTCTAAAACTGGTTCCTTTCCTCTTGATGTTTGCATGTCCGCCCGGCCCCCCTTGGAGCCTTTCTTCCTCCTGGGGGACAGAGGCCACCCTACCCAGAGCCCTGTGCAGCTGTGTAAAGTGTTGCTCTAGCAGTTTCACACAAGCACGGCTGCAGGGAACTGGCTGGCTTAGAGATCACCAGGCTCTCCAAGCACTGCAGAAAGTCCGCTGGGACCATGCAGCGCTGAGGATGCCGTGGTACAGACTGGATACAAGGGTGACATGGACAGGGCAGGGCTCTGTCCACCCAGGGAGAGGTGGCCTGAGATGGAGAGTGGCAGATGCAACTGGGTTTTCTGCTTTTGTGATAACCTCCTGCCTTGCAGACAGCGCACAATGTCTTGGCGTGGTGTGTGTGTGTGTGTGTGTGTGTGTGTGCATGTGTGCAAGTATGAGGGTCTCAGGGTGTCTCTGGAGAGTGAGCACAGCCCTAGGTCTGCAGTTCCCTTGGGGGGGTCCCCACGGGAGGGAGAGCCCTTCCCCTGGACATGGCTTCTATGACAGGGGCCCAATAGGTACCCGAAAGAGCAGAGGGCAGCCCTGGGCTGTGCCCTGGAATGGAACCACCACATTATGCCAGGTGCTTGTAGAAACTGTCTTTGGGTTTCTGTGCTCACTTGGCTTAATCTCCACCATCTGGTGTGGGGGGACCACTATGGGAAAGGGGTTCCAGGTGGTCTGGGGGAGGGTCTCATCCCCAGGTACAGCACTGCAGAATGAGGCTGAGTCCTCTCAGATAGTAACATTTACTTTCTGGGTGTGTCCTAGGCATCCACGTTTTATTTTAATTAATTTTTTGTGTGTGGTGGTATTGGGGGGATTGAACTCAAGTCATTCACACTGAGCTATACCCCTGACCACTTTCTTATTTTGTATTTTTCCGCAGGGTCTTACTAAGTCACTCAGTTGCCCAGGGTCCACTGGAATATGGGATGCTCCTGCCTCAGCCTCCCAGAGTGCTGATGTCATAGGCATGCACCACCATGCCAGGCTGACGTCTGAATTTGAAGAGCTCCCTGTGGATGCGCCCTCATTGAGGCCCACGGCACTGCTCTAGGGGAGGGGCTGCCATAGCGTGTCAAAGACTTGGCCCTCAGCTTGTTGCTGTGGAAAATGGGGCGGGGGGTTTAAGAGGTGGGTGTGGTGGAAGGGCCTTAGGACCCAGTGTGCAGCCTCAGAGGGATCCTGAGACCACAACCTTACAATTTGCCCGAAAGCAATCAGCCCAGCTGACCATAGACTGAAACCTCCACTTCTGAGAGCAAAATTCATCTTTCCTCTGTGTAAGTTGGTCATCTTGGGTGTTTTGTCATGGTAACAGAAAGCTGACTAACACAGGGCCTTCTGGGAGGAGGAGACACTGACAAGTTTGTGTGCATAAAGGTGAAAGCCGGAGCCAGGCGTGGTGGTGCACACCTGTGATCTCAGCATCCTGGGAGACAGAGGCAGGGAGTCTGTCACAAGTTCCAGCCCGACCTGGACAACTTAGTAAGCTTAGCAAGATTCTGCCTCAAAAGAAAACAATTTTAAAAAGGGGCTAAGGATGTAGCTGAGTGCAAAGGCCTTGAGCTCACTTCTGGGTAGCAGCAAAAGAAAGAAAAAAAGTAAAAGGAACCCACTTGAATACCCAGTAACCAAGACCGGTGGAATAACTGTTGCCGTATCCACACCGCAGACACATGCAATCATTAAGAATGACTCCATGTGGTTTTACTCATGGTTGCTGTTAGGAGCTGGGTCTGGAATGTCCCCAAAACTCGTGCATAAAGGCTTGGTCCCCACAGCCGAAAGCACAGAGGCAGGGCTTTGGGAAGTGACTGCATAGCTAGGGCTCTAGCCTAGATGCACCCGTGGTTGGGTCCATAACGTGATGGGCTGATGAGGAGTGATGAGAACGTAGAAGACGGGACCAGGATGAAGGCACCGTAGGGACATGTCCTTGGGGGTGGTGTCTCCTTCCCAGTGCCCCTTTTCTCTCTCCAGCTTTGGCCCACCTGAGACGAGCAGCTTTCTCCTGCTACGCTCTTCCCACCGCGGCATTTCTGCTTCACCGCAGATACCTGAAAGCAAGGGAGCTGGCTTGCCGTGGACTGAAACCTCTGAGGCCGTTAGCCAAAGGAAATTCCTCCTTGCCGTTGTTTGTCTCAGGAATTTTATCTCCAGAATGAACAGCTAGCTATCAGAATCACCACAAGTCCGATGTTCTTCCACTAGAGACTGGCCCACCACCCTGGGGCAGCCACACCAGGACAAAGGGACAGCGAGCATGATAGCTTGAACAAGGCTCCAGTGTCGTACGCTGAGTGGAAAGGGCCGCACACCATTGCTAAGGGCATCTGGGGAAGGACAAAGTGGGCAGCCCATCGGCAGGGGCTGGGGGTGGGAGCAGAGGTTGCTGGGAAGGGCCTTGCAGGCCTCTGGGAATGTGGAATGTCCTTTGCCTGTGGCGAGGGCTCCAGGATTGTGTTTGCCCAACTTGCAATTATGCTCTGAGAGGGTAAATCTGACAGCATGAAAAGCGCACTTCGATAAACCTGACTTTCCAAAACTGGTTCAACGCAGCCACACTCACAGGTGTGCGAAGATGCCTGTGGACACCGCTTGATCCTGTCCCTGATGGACACACAGCTGAGTGTATCCCGTGAGCCCACATTTGTATGAACTTGCTTCTGTGTATGTGATTTACGTGGACAATGCCCAAGAAACTGCAGAGGTCAGGTGGTTGAGCGATTTACAGTGTTTCCACATTGCCTATCTGTTCTGCTGTTGCTGCAGAGGGCAGAGAAGGAGAGAAAACAAGTTTCCCTCCTCGCCTGTGGACGGAGCCTCCAGCCTGAGCCCAGGAC